CTGACCTATTCTCAGGTTCCGGGGATCAGGACATAGACTGTACGCAAGAGGAGTGGGTGACCAACAGACCCAAATGTCGCCAGAAGGTCGATTAGGGTGAGCACTGAGAACTGAGCCTGAAGGCATCATTGTGGGGTCACTTGCCATCGCCCTGCACTAGCACAAGAATGGAGCAGCTTCTGCAAAAGACAGGACATCCCCGAACTGTCCTCAGTCCTGGACAATACCGAGCATCGCCCCTCCTAGGTTTTTAGAGTAAAATTATCAGCCTCTAATTAGCATCTAATTAGGTATGCTAAACCTACCGAGAAATACAAAACTGTAAAAGAATACCTTTTTATCTGTTCTCTGCCAGAAGATTTAGGGATGTCACTTTTTTAAAAGGAAGATTTAATTTTAGAGCTAGCAAGAGAAAGCTAAAAAGTGAAGTTCACGATACTTGCAGAATGCCAACGACATTAAATAATTTTATTATAAACCACAACTGTTGCACGCATGCGTGAAAATAATAACAAAATAGCCATCATTTATTTTCCATCTGCTATATCCCAATCACTGAGTTATTTCTAAGCATTTGACATAAAATATTTTGTTGATGCTTCACAGGAATAAGAGTAAGAGGTATTATTATTAGGCCAAGTTACAGATGAGGACATGGAGACTCAGGGAGGGCGAGTGGCCTGTCGAAGGCCACACAGCGCAGAAGCTGCGTGTGGCCTTCGCTGCCGTGATGCCTCCCGGAGCGGAACGGCAGCTAGACCTTCAGAGGCAGAGGCAAAGAGAGCACAGTCCACAGGCGTTCAGAATTTTTGAGATTTTTGATCCTCTAAGATTGTTTTTCCAGCAACAAAGAAGGAGACGACCTTTTCTTTTGCACTAGTCATGTGTCCCGTTTAAAGAAACTATGCAGAGGTCCCTCCACATTGTCCCCTTCGGCACCCCGGCCCCCAAATTAACTACTATTAATGCGCTGGAGCACACATTTCCAGATTTTTGCCCCAAGAGGCTTGTTTCCAGACTCCATTTAATCAGACTAAATGCAATAAGCTGTTGTTGTGTGTTTCTCTCTTTATGTACCCAATGCTTCTTCCTATATAAACAGCCCAAGGGCGAGGTTCTAGTGATAAGGTTCTGGAGAGTTCTGGAACATCTCGTTCACTTTTACACAGCAGTCCAACCCCCAGGCGTACGCTCCACCTCATCTCCTCTCATTAACTTTCCAAGGAGTTTTAAAAATTCTCGCTTGTGCCTCATTTGTCCCCAACCTCCCCACCCCTGTGGCCAAGCCCATAAGCAATGCTGAATTGCTCATTCAATGAAAGTACATTTTCTCTGTGTTTATGCCAAAGTTCAAAGTGTAATGACCCAACACGGTCTGCCCAGGAGGCTAACGGATGTGTTAGAAACAGACTCTCCTTCGCCACCCACTGGTCGGAATCGGAGTCACAGCAATAACATTTTAGGCAAGCGAACTGGGCTGCTTGTAACTTTGGGGGATATGAACTGTCTTTGCGACACCTATAGGAGCCAAAGTCATCGCATAAAACTATACTAAATAATAGTTCATGTACCAGTTGCTAGTCAGGCTTCAGAATAAGAGAAATAAATACAGAAACAACCTACCATGCAGAAGAAGAACTCGGTGTCTACTCTTTGATTCTAATAATCCCCAAGGTAGTAAATAACTTTCCGGCCCTTTTCCTTAGGCTGGGATGATCATGGCAGCGCACGCAGTTGGGGCGGGACCAGCGCATCTTCCTCGGACTGGACGCCTTATCACGTGTGAACGTCTGTTTTTTTCAAGCCCATGGTCCATCCTGGGAGATGGCACATCCCGTGTCAAAGCTGGAAATTTGGGGTACCAGATCACCTTTCAGAAAGGCTCTCTGAGCACCCCATTTCCCAACAATGAAGATATCCAAGTTCATTATAAATACCCACGGCACGAATGAATAACTGTCGAAGAAAGTAAAACACTCTCGAAAGGTTTCTTAATATGAAGAGGTCAGAGATGTCATTCAACTGTGCAGCAAATATCACTGTGCAGAAAGAAGGAAAAACCACCGTGACATTTATTCATGTGCGCCTGCAGGACGTAAAAATCAAACCCACCCTCCCTGTATGCGAGGGAGCCTGCCAAAAAGAACGGTCAAGGGCAACGGACAGGTGTCGCAGGCCCTCTCTGTCCTGGGCCTTTACCTTCATCGTGGACAGTTTGTTCGCAAACTGGTGTTTGCGACAGGTGTTTAGGACAGGTGTTCCAGGCCCTTCATGCACGTCATCCTTCTCTCCCCTGCCAGGTGCCTTTCCTCCTGCTTGTCCCTCCCCTTCCCTTCTCTCCCTTCGGTGTCCCCTCCGGGTCTACCTCGGTTTCCCCTTTCCACATCCCTCTCCCACTGGCCATATAGCTCCTTTCAAAAACATGTTTTTAATTGGTAGCTGAAATTTCTAAACACGAATTTATAATGGAAATACCGGCAGAACTTTCTAACCGCCTAAGTGTTAGAACGAGAACGTAAAATGATCCACGAAGGGGCTACGTGGGCATTTTGTTCACGCAGAGAAACTCATTTAAATGATTTAAAAGAAGCTATTATACAACACTGTTTCCAGTGTCGTAATAGCTTCAGTGACCTTCAAATATTTATCTTCTCCGTCGAGTACACACACTGTAATGGAAACTCAGACATGATGTCAAGACCAGCGAGCTAACCCTCTAACCAGCAAACTCGTTACCGCTGGCGCGTGGGCTTCTTTTAAAAGTAAATTTAGTTCTATCCTTTGTACTATCGAAAGTGAAAAAGATATATTCGAGTCCGTATTGTGCACAAGAACGCGAAATAAGATTCGAGCAGCCACAGAAAGGGCCGAGGAGAATGCATGGAGGCAGACAGAGCCCGTTCACGGACGTAGAGCATTGTCTCACCGCGTGGGGGAGGAAAATGATTTGTCCATGTGCTCAAATGAAGGCGGCGGGAGGAAAGCCGTTTCCCCGCGTTTCTGAGGCCCGTCGCGACCTCTTCCTCAAGCCCTGCTTTTCCCTTTGCGTTGCGTTCCGGTTGTTTTTTTCTCTCCCCGCCCCCCATCACCCAAATATATTTATTCACAATCGGCAAACAATAAAACTCCATTAAAATTTTATTAAAATCTTGAAAACAAATTAAAAAGGGAAAACAACATAGAACGGGTTTCTAGAATGGTGTGTGTGCCATGCCTTAAAAAAAAAAAAAAATCTATGCGCTGCAAATGATGTTAACTCTTCCTTGGCTTCACATTTGCGTTTATTTTGCACCGAGCTGGGGAAATGAAGCAAACTTCTTCTGGAGACCGTCGGAATTGTTCGTCTCCATTAAAGAGAATTCGTGGAGGCGAGATCCGCGCGGCAGGACGGTGACCCCTCTGCAGCCGGCGCTCTGCGCGGCCTGTTTCCCCCGCGCACTCTCCCCTGACCCGTTTCTCCCTCGCTTCAGCGCCCCTCGCCCTCCCACCTGCCCCGGAGATGTTTTGGGAAGAACTTTCTACAGGCTGAAGAGCTGGGGCCGCTTAGAGCAGACGGGGCGTCAGGCCCGTCCCGCCCTCTGTGCCAGGCTTTCCCCGCTCTCTGCCGCCCGCCCGGCCCGGGACATCGCCCGCCCCTCCTCCTCCACGCCGCGCCCTTCCCACCCCTCAACTTCTTTTATTCCATTGACTTCCATCCCCCCCCCACCTAAGTCTTGGGGTCCCTCCCGTTCTCTAGCACGCCCACCATATTCGCCCCTCCCTCCCATCCATCTCATGCTCAGGTTTCTGGAGCCTCCAGGTTCCCTCCTCCCCGTTCCGCTGTCACCCACCTGTCCACCCACCTGTCCACCCACCTGCCCATCCATCCACCCCGCCCCATATTTCCAAACTTCATCTTCCCATCCCAAGTCTCTGGGGTCGCGCTTCGAAGGTCCCTCCTTATTCTTCCGCTTCCGTCTTCATTCATCCCGCCCCCGTGTCTCTCGGCGCCCCCTG